AAGGTAAAAAGCCAGCTATTTTGTAGAATGTCCCTCAATTTTGGCTTGTCTGATGTTTCCGCATTGTTAGATTCAGGCTATATATCTCCGGCAGAGGTTTCACACAAGTGATGTTGTTCTCACTGAAGCCTATCAGGGAGTGTGCAGTTTTGATTTTCCACCTCACCGATTCTGTTTACTTTGTTAACTCGATTAAGGTGATACCTGCTAGGCTTCTGCACTCTACTCTTTTGAGTACTTTATAATGAATAAATATTTGGGAGGAGGTACTTTAAAATTATATAAAGATTCCGTCCATCATCGACCTTTCTATTCATTTATCTATTTGTATCAGTATGGATTCATGGTTCTTATTTTATGTCTAATAATTTATTACTATTGTGTATTTTTGCTTAAACTTTCCTAGATTTGGCTAGTGGGTGCTCTTTCATGCTAGCTCCTCTCTCCTTTTGATGTGCTCTCATCTTTCTTTGAGTCTTTCTTTGTTGTTGTTGGCTTTTTTTGTTGTTTTTTTGTCTTTTTGTTTTTTGAGCAATAAAATGATCCAGGCTCATCTTCTGTTTTCTCTAAGCCATTTCTTTAAGGAGTCCTAGTTCCTTTAGAGGAGAATGGTATTTAGAATCCGAGATCTGAGTGTCAGACATGTTCATTGCTTTTGGGGTGTTGTTGCTCCAACATACTCAAACGGACAGGCCTAGGGAATATATGTATGCATACACACATATACGTAACACTTATGCACATTTATATCTTTATTTCTGTATACATCGATACATACATCAACAGCTATGGGTTCCAACTATGGATTCAGTTACAATACAACATCACAGAGTTCATTCTACTTTTTTCTTTTTTCAGACTGGTACTTCTCTTCACTGGCAGTGAGAAACTTGACTCCCATTATCCTTGCTGTGTTAACTTATTTAATCAATCCCCCTGTATGTAACCAACATCCAGTCACTGCCTCAGTTGCCACCATCACCCCACACCTCCTTACCCTGCCAGTATTTCAACACCCTGCTGGGACATCCCCTCTTAGGGGGGTGCCCTTCTCACTCTGCTCTGGCTCTGATACAATGCGTTGGGCAGCTATCCTACACGGATGTCCTTTTTACATTGCTGAGGCTCTGACCCCTTTCCACAAGCCCTATCCCCCCCTCACCCCACCTGGGCTCCCTCTGGCAGACCACCCATGTGGATCTCCTTCCACCAACCCTACTAAACCCTTGTTACATTTCATTTTGATTAGGCTTAAGTTGATCCCAAACTGATGTTACTTTCAATTTGCTGCAACATTTTGATCCAAGTGCTACACATTTTTTTTCTGAGATGCACTGTTTTCTTTCAGCCAATAGTATGTTTTAATAATCAGGCATCCATAGCCTTCTCGGCCATGGCTTTCAAAGGGGCATTGGCAGGACATTGTTTCTTTAATCAAATGGATTAATTATAATATCTGAGGAATGGTCCAATGGCATTCACTTAATACAAAGCCAAGTAGCTTTACAAAATCTGCAATGAATAGATTCTAGGGTCTTCAAATTGAGCCAGGAAGACAAACTCCCTGGGTGTTGGGAATGTACAGAGTGGGCAGTGCTTATTATTGATCCAATTATACGTTGAATACAAGTGGGTGGAAGAATAAAAGTGAACTGACAGTCCTGAGGGTTACAAATACCATCTCCATCTTCTTTCAAGGACTGCAGAGAGGTTTAAAAGAAAATAGTACTTGTAACAACAATATTAAAATGTATGATTTTTGAAGGTAATGTTTTTTGACTTCCAAGCACAGTTAAGGTCTAACTATGCTCAAAAACCTCAGAGGAAGACTCTTCTCCCTTCCATCCTCTGACTTGGCTTACGAAAAGAGCTTTGTAAACTATAGAGTATGATACTATGATTGCCGTTATGAGGTGGTGGTTGTGGTATTTGGGTAGGATTAACAGATGTTAATTCTCTTTTTGTGGCATATTCATTTGTGATACTTGGGGCCAAGTCAGGCTTGGTTTTCTTGGCTGATGTCAGTTTTTTGTCTTTCCAGTGTTAATGACAGCTTTGAAAAATGCCTTGAGCTAATTTTCCTTGAATTTCAGCCATCCCTTGTTCTTCTACAGGTTTTTAAGGAAAGTATGAATTTTTTATGCCTTATTTGCTTATGTAACAGAGGAAACTCTTTGTGAAGCATTTTAGATATTTTGTCTGTTTGTTTTTTTACATGGAAAACACTTTACCATAAGAACTAAACCACTACCTGAGGCACTATGATAATGTCTATATGTTGGTATTCTTAGTCCCTTCACTCTCTGTGGATGAAGACATTACAAGTAAGTGAGACAGATCTATATTTGATTCTGCCTGGTGTCTTGGCTAAGTCTTTTCATTTCTCTGACCTTCGCTGCTTCATCCTAGCTTTCCACTTCACAGTGATGTGATCCTAACCAGTTATTAACCTTTCAGTGTCTGTTTTCTCATCTGCAAACCAAAGATAATAATATTACCTGCCTAATTAATAGGTTTTTGTGAAGATTAAATAAAGTAATGCAGATACAGGGCAATGCCCAGTAAATAGTCAGCATGTAGTAAAGGTTTGCTGTTCCTACCTCTTATTTAACAGTTGGAGTTTACACGTGTTTGTAGTTTTTCTTCAATGGTAGCATATTTGCATCAGCCATGGGATATTTTGGAGACTATGCACTGCACTGCTTCACAGCTGTGCTCTCTATAGAGGACATATCAGGAAAGGCAGTTGGCTTTTTTATTGCTACCAACCTTGGTCACCAAAAGGATTTGTTTCCTTTTCCCACTGAGCAGAGGAAAAGTTGAGCAGGATTAATTCTTCCCTCTACCCTGAGGTAACACCAGGCTTTGGAGGAATTTTACAAATTCTGGAGAGAGTAAGAGGAACTCAGTCTTGGAATAATAGCAGGATGCATATATGTGCTGAGCCATGTTGGAAACTTGCTGAAATTGGAGACGTGAATTGGTAGTTGTACCAGTAGGTGCAATTATGTGAGTTGCTTCCACAGTACTTGGAAAAAAAAAAAAAAGCAAAGAAAAGACCCTGAAAAAGAATATATATATGTATAACTGAATCACTCTGCCGTACACTTGAAACAAACACAACATTGTAAATCAGCTAGACTTCAATTAAAAAAAAGAAATGGGGCTTCCCTGGTGGCGCAGTGGTTGAGAGTCCACCTGCCGATGCAGGGGACACGGGTTCGTGCCCCGGTCCGGGAGGATCCCACATGCCGTGGAGCGGCTGGGCCCGTGAGCCATGGCTGCTGGGGCTGCGCGTCCGGAGCCTGTGCTCCGCAAAGGGAGAGGCCGCAACAGTGAGAGGCCCGCGTACAGCGAAAAAAAAAAAAAAAGAAGAAGAAACAGAAGGAGGAAGAAGAGGAGGAGGAGAAGGGCAAGGGGGAGGGGAAGAGGAGAAGAGGGAAAGAAACAAAGAGTTCTAGCCCAAAGTGGTTCTTCAGTGCCTTTGCAACTGCCCTACTGTTGGGTCTTCATGACATTTCACTAGACATGCCTGTCTTCTCTGTATCCCCTTTGGACTCAAGCTATGCTCTTCTTGCCTAATATTTATGTAACAGGACAAGAGGCTCAGAGCAGTTCTATGACTGGCCTATGACAGCACAATATAACCTGGAATGTATGGCAAAGAGGATAAGGTTGCAGATGGAATTAAGGTTGCTAACCAGCTGACTATAAGATAAAAAGATTAAGCTGGATAATCTGGGTGGAGCTAACATAATCACAAGGGTCCTTATAAATGGAAAAGGGAAGGAAAAGGGATAGTGTCAGGATGATGCGACTTAAGAGACCCAACTGGCCCTTACTGGCTTTGAAAATGGCGGAAGGAAAGGAAAGGGCCTCCAGAAAGGAATGCAGCTGGGCTAATGCCTTGATTTAGCCTAGGGAGACCCATCTCAGACTTCTGACCACCAGAACTGGAAGATACTAAATTTGTGTTGTTTTGAGTCACCAAACTTTTGGGAATTTGTAATGGCAATAACAGGAGTCTTATACCTGCCCCTTGAAATGTCATGGTGTGTATGTATCCAGTCTGAAGTCCTTCAAACTGCCCGCCCCAGGCTTGTGAGTACCACCTTGTACTTGGATCACTGTTTGACTTGGCTGCACTGGCCGTGGGCAAGGTTGGATGAGTTGGTACCCTGCCCCCCTCCTCTCACTGAGCACATATGGATGGCTGGAAGCCATGGAGAATCAATATGGGGCCAAATTCCTTCTGAATGGAATAAGGAGGCCTGTTTCAGCCCAGAGGTGAAAACCTTGGCTGGATTATCCCAGGAAGTTCTCAGGATGCCTGACAAGCACCCTAGTTGGCAGGATTAGCTCGTTGAGGTAAAGCTTGAGCCCCTGAATGGTTTCCCCTTCCAAGGACAGCCTGTGCAGGTGAACTGGAGAAATACCTTGACACCTTCTTGGTCTGACTTACTTCCTCTGCTCTCCGGGTTTCCTTTTGGGTGAGTGGAGGTAGGCTTAGGAAATTAGAAAAGCACTAGAGAGACCTGCAGACTCAGAGTGGCTCATGGTCCTGTGGTCCTATGCATAGCCTCATGGTACAGATGAAGGGACTTGTCCAGGGTTGAACTAGCATTTGAACAGACCATATCCCTTTGTGTGACTTGGCAAAGAGAAAAATTGCATGTTACTTTTTCAAATGAAAGCCCTAGCCGGGCCTGGAAGAGAATCGTAGAGACCGGCTGAGGAGCCTTGGTAGAGCAATGGTGGGAAAAGTTCGGGAACTGGGAAAGGCCGGAAAGGGGGCAGCACTGAGCTGAGGAGGGTCAGGGAGTGGGGTCCTCTCTGCCCCATCCCTGCGCTCAACATTTTCCGCCTGTATGAGGGGCTGGCCTGGGGGGGCCTCTCACTCGGAGTCCCGCCCAGGGTGACTCTCCCCGGGGCTCCCCTATTTGGACGGCTTGGCCGTGCTCTGGGCGGGGCCGGCGGAGCGCGGGGGTGGGAGTCCCGGAGGAAGATGCGCGGAGCTGTCTGCGAGGAGGCCTGGCGCCCAAGGCAGAGGGGTGGGGATCGGGGGTGGGCTGCGCCCTCCCGCTCTGACCCATTCCGCACCCCACGGAAAGCAGACGCTGTCAGCTGAATCACTCCACTTTCGGGAGGAGGGAGGGGACGGAAAGGTAACTAGCCCCTTTCTGCTTAAAAGAGCAAAGGGAGATCGTGGGCAGCCTTGCAGCTTCCCCCTCCCCACTCCTGGACCATGCACCCCTGCATCTTCTTGCTCGGCCACAGGAGAGGACTTGATTTCTTGAGCTAAAACTTGTTGACTTTTCTCTCCGCAACAACTGAACCATGCCATGTGCACAGAGGAGCTGGCTTGCAAAGCTCTCCGTGGTGGCTCAGCTCCTAAACTTGGGGGCCCTTTGCTATGGGAGACAACCTCAGCCGGGCCCTGTGCTCTTCCCGGACAGGAGGCAAGGTTAGTGGCTTTTCTTTATTTCCTTTGAAAACCGCAGGGGTAAGACGCGAGCAAAGTTGGTTGCTCTCTTTTCCCTTCCCCCACTCGGCTGAGCTCCGCGAAGACTTTTGGCTGAGTTGCGAGGAAATCTGGGCTGGGAGCATCTTGCATTTCAGTGCTTAAGGTGTAGATTCCTTACTTTTTACCGAAAGGCGAGGATCCACATCTCTTTTACACTGAGGATGCTGCAGTGAAGACTCTAGAGGTAGCTCGGAACCACCCCCAACTGTCTCTTTTGTCTCTTCTGAATGCTGCACTGTTTCAATCCCTACCTTTCAGATGCTGAAAACGGAAAATGATTTTTTTTTAAAAAAGTTCCAACTGTCCACTGGCAGTCATTGCCATGTTTTTAGTTAGTTTGAAACTTCTGGTGAGGTAAGGGGAAATGTGATTCCACCCCCCCCCCCGCTGAGTGAGCTTGGCTGTGTTTTCCTGGAAAGATTTAGGGCTGTGTTGTAAAAATAACAGACCCTTTAGAGAAAATTTCCTACCATAGGGGCGCACCTTTCCCTGTCCTGTCTTGCTGGTCACAGCTGGCTGCTTCTCTTTCAGAATTTCATGGAACTCTACAATGCTATAGAAAGCATTGGAGGAGTTGTGATGGAAAATTTGTTATTATTATTGTTGTTGTTATTATTATATATTTTTAAAACCTAACACCCTGAGCAGGATGGTATTGTTGCCTCTGTTTTTTTTATTGGACTTGCAAGGGTCAGACACACTTTCCTGTTTGGTGGGGAGCTCGTTGGACTTCTGAGGGGAAACAGTCATGGCAGCAGCAATGACCTGCGTGGCTGGAGTGTGTCCCATGTGCCAGGACTGCTAAGGCACTCTGGTGTGTCAGCCTCTTGACCACTGACAACAGCTGCCTGGGGTGCAGGGACCACTGTTACCATCCCTGCTTTACACCCATAGAAGCTGAAGCTTGGGGAGTTTACAGGCTTAGCTATGGTGGAGTGAGGTTTTAAACCCAGGTAGCCACACCCCAGAGGGTGGCTTCTTACAATCAAGCAGCATTGTCCTAGAACAATAATAGGGACAACACACACACACACACACACACACACACACACACACACACAGCACGGGGTTAGCATCCATTAAGTCCTGTGTCTGCTGACAGTGCTCAAGTCTCGGGAAGCTTCCATAGCCTCCTGACCCCCTTTAATGCCCAAGACCACTTGGGTGGCAAACATCACCAGCCTGACCTTGTTGAGGGTTTCTGCCTACGTTGCAAAGTTCAAATACTGCTGGAGACCTCATTTGCTGCTCACTTCCAGAGCCATCAGAAGCAGGTCCCTTTGCTTTCCTGGGAAGCCAGAACGAGCAAACCCTGGGGTGAGATGTCAGTCAGCCAGCACTCGCTTGTGTAAACGGTCCAGATACGATCTCCCACCCCCAAGTTTAAAATAGCGTTTGTTGTTCTTTGAAAAACAGCCCTTTTGTGAAAAGTCTCTCTTTTGCTGGCAGCACAAACAAAGCCTGCAAGCACTTCCCAGGGCATTTGGAGATGATTTGGTTCAAAGACACGCATTCTCCTGGGTTGGTTTTCAGCTCTGCTTGTTCCACATCTTTGTAAGCAAATTCAGCTTAGTGTGGGACAGACTCCGCTGGGACTTGCTTTCTCCTCTCTAAAAAGTGAGAGATGGTTGTCTTTCCCGGTCACCTTTAGGGTTATGGGCTGAGAGGAGTTGATACCGAAAAATAGCTGTACAGTACTCTGAGCTTATTAGTGATGCACAGATATATAGATTTAAAAAATAATTTCCCAAAAAATTTTCAGATTTTAATTAAAGACCTAAAATGTAAGACCTGAAACCATTGAAATCCTAGAAGAGAACATAGGCAGAACACTCTTTGACATAAGACGTAGAAATATTTTTTTGGAACTGTCTCCTAAGGCAAAAGAAACAAAAGCAGAAGTAAATAAATGGGACCTGATTAAACTTAAAAGCTTTTGCACAGCAAAGGAAACCATCAACAAAATGAAAAGACAACCGATTGAATGGGAGAAAATATTTGCAAATGATATAACCAATAAGGTGTTAAGATAAAAAAAAATATATATATACACACATATATATATGTATAAAACTCAATATCAAAAAAACCAAACAACCCAATCAAAAAATGGGCAGAAGACCTGAATATACATTTTTCCAAAGAAGGTATAGAGATGGGCAACAGACACATGAAAAGATGCTCAACATCAATAATCATCAGAGAAATGCAAATCAAAACCACGATGAGATATCACCTCACACCTTTCAGAATGGCTGCCATCAAAAAGTCAACAAGTAATAAATGTTGGTGAGGATGTGGAGAAAATGGAATCTTTGTGCACTGTTGGTGGGAATGTAAATTTGTACAGCTACCATGGAAAACAGTATGGAGGTTCTTCAAAAAGCTAAAAATAGAACTACCATGTGATCCAGGAATTCCACTGCTGGGAGAATATTGGAAGAAAATGAAAACACTAATTCAAAAAGATACATGCACACCAGTGTTCATAGCAGCACTATTTACAACAGCCAAGGTATGGAAGCAACCTAAGTGTCCATCAATAGGTGAATGGATAAAGATGTGGTATATATATACAATGGGATACTACTCAGCCATAAAAAAGAATGAAATTCTGCCATTTGCAACAATGTGGATGGACCTAGACGGTATTATGCTTAGTGAAATAAGTCAGAGAAAGACAGATATTATATGATATCACTTGTATGTGGGATCTAAAAAATAAAACGAATGAATGTAACAAAACAGAAATAGACTCACAAATATAGAGAATGGAGTAGTGGTTACCAGTGGGGGAGAGAGGGGTAGGTTTAAGATAGAGGTAGCGGGTTAAGAGATACAAATCACTATGTATAAAATAAATAAGCTACAAGAGTATATTGTACAGCACAGGGAAATATAGCCATTATTTTGTGATAACTTCAAATAATAAATAAATAAAATTAAACTAGAAAAAAATTCAGATTTTTAAAAGTCTTTTCATCAAAATATTTGTTCTCAATCAACTCACCAGTGGATTTACAAGTAATCCCCATTTGGTTCAAAAGAGAAATTTCTGAGCAGATTTCCATGTAGAACTAAGAGTGAGAGGAGAATGAGAATAAGAATGAGGGCAAGCTAGTTAGAGAAGGAAATTCTTTTTTTAATTTAATTTTATTGAGGTATAGTTGATTTACAATGTTGTGTTAATTTCTGCTGTGCAGCAAGGTGATGCAGCTCTACATATGTACACATTCTTTTTCATATTTTTTCCATTATGGTTTATGGCAGGATATTGAATACAGTTCCCTGTGCTCTACAGTAGGACCTTGTTGTTTATCCATCCTATATATAATAGTTTGCATCTGCTAACCCCAAACTCCCAATCCATCCCTCCCCCAACCCTTTGGCAACAAGTCTATGCTCTATGGCTGTGAGTCTGTTTCTGTTTTGTAGATAAGTTCATTTGTGTCATATTTTAGATTCCACATATAAGTGATATCATATGGTACTTGTCTTTGTCTTTCTGACTTACTTCATTTAGTGTGATAATCTCTAGGTCTATCCATATTGCTGCAAATGGCATTATTCCATTCTTTTTGATGGCTAAGTAATATTCCATTGTATATATGTAACACATCTTCTTTATCCATTCATCTGTCGATGGACATTTAGGTTGTTTCCATGTCTTGGCTATTGTGAATAGTGCTGCTGTGAATATAAGGGTGCATGTATCTTTTCAAATTAGAGTTTCATCTGGATATATGCCCAGGAGTGGCATTGCTGGGTCATATGGCAACTCTATTTTTAGTTTTTTGAGGAAATTCCATACTGTTTTCCATAGTGGCTGCACCAATTTACATTCCCACCAACAGTGTAGGAGCGTTCCCTTTTTCTCCACACCCTCTCCAGGATTTGTTATTTGTAGACTTTTTAATGATGGCCATTCTGTCCAGGGTGAGGTTGTACCTCGCTGTAGTTTTGATTTGCATTGAGAAGGAAATCCTTAAGGCTTCCAGGGAATAGGATGACCAGAGCTTTGCCTCCACATGACCGGCTTGCTGCTTCATAATTAAGCAATCTCCCTAGAATTCCATTTCCACTCTGACAACATTTTTGAATTGCACCCAAATTCTGAACATTCAAACTTTCAAATTACTTCAGATGTCATGTCGCCATCCTCCTTATTTTTGCAGGTGAGGAATGAGAGGCCCAGCTGGTCCATCAGTCAACATGCATTTACTGAGCACCTACTCACTGCCGTTCCAGCAGCGGCATCAAGGGAGTCACACAGGGTCCTGCAGTAGGAGGCCGACTCAGAACCTCCATGACTATTAAGGTTCCTTCTAGTTCTAAGGGGCAGGCAGAGTCTGGATTTTAGATCTAGGAAGGACCATGGAAATAAATCCAATCCTTTCTGGGACTAGAAACAGGTAGATTGGGCAATCTCTGCCCACTATTCTTTCCACATCGCTCAGTGGTGACATACACAATTGTGTGATGACCTCCACAAGGCTCCCAATGAAGTATCAGAACAATAGGAAGTATTAATCTTGCACACAACACATGGCCTCTCTTCTATAGCTGACGATATCCCCTCAGGTTCGTTTTGCCCTGTACTGTTTACAAGTCACCGGACACTTCCATGACCTCTTTTGCTGCTGACAACTCCATGAAGTTGAGAGGACCGGCACTTCATCCCATGTTAGAGACATGCTCCAGGTTGCACGGACTTGGGCGGAACCGAGGGAGCGCTGCAGTGCATTTCAAGACCAATGTCATAATCATGTATTTATGCCATTTGCAAAAAATAACTTCTGCAAGGAGGAAATCATTTCAGATCTTAATGTAAGAAGAGCCTTCACAGGGCTTCCCTGGTGTGCAGTAGTTAAGAATACGCCTGCCAATGCAGGGGACACAGGTTCGAGCTCTGGTCAGGGAAGATCCCACAAGCCGCGGAG